AAAAGATATGGAAGGTGCAGCAAGAAGACATGATAGTTTGATTTTCCATGCTAGGGGATTAACTCAGCAAACATTAGCTGAACAAGATTTGGGAGAAGGTTTAGGAGATGTAAGTCCACCCTGGACTCTTGAGAAGGTTTAGGAGATGTGATCTCACTTTTAGATATATGGATACATCTAATTATATATATCATATTTAAATATATTTATCTCTATGTTATATTTTTCAAAGCTAAGATGCCAAAGATTTTAAGATATCCGTTGTTTTATATACCACTAAGAAAGAAAAATGCTGCCAATTAAGACACCACTGATTGTAAGAGGCACCCTGATTTCAGAAATGTTAAGTGAAGAAAAACTGTGCTAAATATATAGAAAAAGATCTGAAGAGATGGACATGAAGGTTTTATAGCAGTAACCTCTGGGAGGCGAGAGTATGATTTGTCTTTAATTATTGCTTATCTGTGTGTGCAAATTTCCCACAATGCTGCTCTCTCCTGGCTTTACCTCACTCTCCAGAGCTAAAGGTAGGTGACCCTAGGCTCTGGCAGAACTCATTTTCACATCTCTTAGTGGGTCATACATTAGGGTTCAAGCTTTGGTTAAAGGATGTAGGAGCGCTAAGCTCCCGTTGTATTGTTCTTAGCCCTTAAGGCCTCTGCCCAAACTCCAGGGCAACAGGAAAAAACACGTTTAAAGTCCTATCTACTATGCACGTATTCAGTAATAGACTAGATACAAGTTATTGGTAAATGAATGAAAAGCAGCAGTTCAGTAAGGGAGGTCTATAGGAAAGATAGTCAGGATTCTGTGGGAGGTTTAGTAAATGTGCAGAAAGGATTCTGACAAATAAACTTCTTTTATGTCTTTAATTTCTACCCTCCTAGAATTAACATGTATAATTTTTTGTGCACTTAAAAATAATCATAAATTCAGCAGTAATGAGATTAGCTCAATAGTTTTTTCCCTTGGAGAATAAATGGAGATAGTTTGAAATGTTATGTTTCAAACACAACCTGAGGTTATTTTTACCAAACATCATGAAGAAAATATAATTAAGTAGTAAATATTACAGTCTTAAATTTATTGTTTAAAACATGGTAAATTTTCATTTAAGCTACTTTATTGTATTATTCCTTTTATGAAATCCGGGGATAATTTTGTATTATTTTTGAAAGTATATGCTTTTCTTCCTGTGCTTGGCTATACTGCTGGATTCATTTTTTAATTCCTTGATGTGGTTTACACACACATACATGCAAGATTACTTTGCTATTTAAAAGGAATTCTGTAACTTTTATAAATTTTCCAATGATGCAGGATATGGTCACTCATCTGAAATCATAGTTTGTAATCATTTTAACTCACAGCTGTCTGTACCGTTTCAGTCAGGTGGGTGAAGCCATGACCTAATCAATCCATTAGAGTGCTTGACAAGGTGCTTTTAAAAAGTGTGTTGGTGCCCATGGGTGATTTTGTTTCAGGATTGAAGGAGGCACTTTAATCTAAAACTCACCTCTTGATTTGTGCTTGCCAACATTTTGTTTACTATTCTTCAGATGGTTGTAAGACAGGGAAGGGTATAAGCTTTAGAGTCAGATGAGACTAAGTGTGAACCCAACAACTTCTGACTGCGCCAGACCCTGAACCCACGTACCATGAGTTTGGGTCCCCATCAGCAAGGCTGGGACCAGCCACAGTGACTTCTCAGTTGGTTGTGGTTTAGTTTGTTGTGTCATTCAGCCCCACGTGTGGGACTTCAATGAATTGTCACGGGCCAATTATAGGTTTAGTGAAAGCAGGCAAATGGTAGCATTTGACAAATACTATAAGACAGACCTACTTCCAAAAGATGTCACCTGGCGATTGGATAGCACAATTCCTGTTGTAAAGCCAGGCCTGTGGGTATTTGCTACCTTTATTAAAACAAGTCTATATATTTTCTTGCATGTAAGTGAAAGTAAAATGATTGTCTTTAAAGGCAAAATACTCCTATAGCAGGATCACAAAATTTATTCACACTACATCTTAGTATACATACCTGGGCTCCATTTTTTTTTTTTAACCTGTGTCTGATATGGGTATGAGCCCTTAGGCTTTGAGTGGTGAGGAAGAAAAATAGGTTTAGTTCACTCCAATGTAATAATTTTTAAAGCCCATTTAAATAATGTTTACTTCCTCAGTCAGATGACCCCCTAGCTCAGATTTTTTCTTGGTCAGCTCCCCGTTTCCCTTGGCCTGGTGAAGGGCAGATCTGGTTTATGGGAGCACGGAAGGCCCATGGAGTGCCTTGTGTTTTCCGCTGCCTCTTCGGGCAGCTGGTCCCACGATGTCCTCTGATGCATCATTTTCTACCAATGCTACTCACAATCTTGTCTTCCTCGGCTAGGTTTGGGCCTAGCAGCCCTTCCAATCTGAGTCAGCCTCGCCTTGGCTCCCACTGGTGGGAGATGTTCGCTACCTCCTCCCTCTAGACTTCTGGCCAGGGCCGGTAACCCGAGTGCCAAGGCATCAACCCCTTGCCAAGGTGGCAGTGTTCTCCCTAAGTACTGTGGGCGCTTATGGATTCCATGCATGGTTATCTGACTGCACGAGTGTCAGCTGGGGAACTAAACAGCAAGGACCGGTCTGTCTAGCCACCCAGCACCTGCCCAGTTTACAAGTATGTAGCTGTGCTCCAGGTTAGTGTGGGATAGCCTGAAAGATATTTTTTTTCTGGAGCTCAAAAAGGAGATTGGGACAGCCTTCCTGTACCAGGGAGGGACCAGAGACCGCGAAAGGAGCAGATAGATGGCTTGCTCAAAAGGGGTGCCTGGTTCAAGAAAGTTGACTGAAGGGACTATTAGAAAGACAGGGTGCGTGAAGGGAAACCAACAGGGGACATGGTAACTCCTCAGAACAACAGCAGCAGAAAGTCAATATAGCCCCAGGCCCGAGGAGAGGGTGGAGTTCTGGGAACTTGACAGGAGCTGAGCGGTAGCCGAGGGCTTCCTAACAGTTGCTGTGGCTGTTGACAGTGGAAAGCTGAAACTTGCACAGTGCAGCCTGTCAGGGAGGGAGGCAGTCGGGGGTCACCATGGCCTACCCCTCTCTCCTGCCCTCTCGTGGGCGCTGTCCCTCCCGTTCCAACACCACCACCACCTTGACCAACGCAGAAAGGAGGCAGATGGGTAAAGGAAACTTACAGCAACCCTTAGGTGAGTCTCCCAGGGCACAGAGCTGGCGGAAGGTTGAGAGCGGGTCTGCAGGGGCAAACAGAATCTCTAGCAGGTTCCTCTGCAAGTCTGTTTGGGTTAAGGCCAGAGAGAAAGGTTAGACACTCACGTCTCCCAGATTCTCCTTTCTCCCTTCCCTCTTTCCACTGTCTCCCAGGGATAGAACAGGAGGCGCATCCATCTTTGGTAAATCCTAGTGCACTGTGTACCACATTGGAACTTCCCTGACTGAATTTCCTGGGGTTGACTTTTGATATACAAAGAGGAAATAAAGATTGGGGAACATTCCTTCCTAAGAAAATTGCCTATGTTGCAGAGCTGTTTGTCTTTCAGGCAAATCCAATGTCAAATGCCAAAAATATGAATATTAATTTTTTCTTTGTGTTTTTGTCTTTGTGTTTCTTTTGCTTTTCTGCCTTCCTCAGATAGATGGATGTCTTAGACCAGCTAGGGAAACACTACATTCTTGGAGAGGCAGAAGAGAATATAGCAAAGTAATATTTTTAAAAACTATTACTCTCAATTCAGCAATATGCTGCTGTAGTTTGTATGCAAATTAAAATTTTTAAATATTTTCACATATCTGCTTGAATATCAGTTAACCTTAACCATTCTGTAAGGTATCCATTTTACAGATGCGGTCACTGAGGTCAAGTGTATCCTGCTAGCTAGCAACGGACTCACAGATGGAATTCCTGATCTCCTGACACTTGAGATAGTGCTCTTGTTTTCTATGCCAGACAAAAGGGGCATAGTTTGAGCATTTGGAAAAGAGAACCAAATTCATGAAGTTGCCTCATGACGTACTGACACCTGCTAAAAATTGTGCTTCTTGAGCAGTTTTGCCCATTAATAAGTATTTTTATTAAAAATATGTTTTTAATCTCTTCTAATGTCTGCTTCCATAGTAATTAGGTCATTTTATACTCATTTTACTGCCCTTATTACATTATCATCGGCCACTTGGTATCTCTTACAATTTACATTTTTTTCTCACTTACCGTATTTGCCAGTGTATAAGACGACTTGGCGTATAAGACGACCCCCTAACATTTCCACTCAAAATACAGAGTTTGTTATATGGTCGGCTGTGTGCGATTTTGCGAGTGTGGTAAAATCACATAACAGCAAAATCGCATAACAGCCGAGCATACACCCAGCAGCGCTGCTGATGCCTGAACGGTATGTGGAATGAAGTGGGCGGGCATCGGGAGGCCACTATGGCACGGGGCAAGCACTATGGGCAGTCTATCTGAAGTGTACCTGGTGTATAAGACGACCCCCCACTTGGAGGCATATTTTTCAGGGCCAAAAAATCGTCTTATACGCCGGCAAATACGGTAGTTGTTTTTTTTTGGCTTCTTAGTAGACTTTACTTGACAGCTCATGATACATTTAGAAAGATTTTTTTTTTCTGAAATTTTTAAGTGGCTTTTCAATGGGTGGGTCAGTGTATCTAGTCCTCCAAACTGTGAAACTAAAAGTTGGCTAAACCCATTTTTAAAAATTACTTTTATTTTTTTATTTAAGTACAGTTGGTATACTATATTGTTTATATTATTTTCAGGTGTACAATATAGTGATTTGAGATTTCTATACCTTACAACGTGATCACCCTAGAAACTTATCACCATATTATGGATTATATTCTCTTTCACCTTTTTCACCCATCCCTCTCCCCTCTAGCAACCATCCCTTTGGTCTCTGCTTCTGTCATATGAGTCTGTTTTTGTTTTGTTTGTTCATTTTAAAAATTGCATTGTGTTTTATCTATCTTGCCTAAAGGTTTGTTGGAGACTGAACCACTGCAAGGGAGAGATGAAGACACACTAGCCCATGCTGACTTCTCTAGCATGCTTTCTGAGGAGGAAAAAGAGGAGCTAAAGGCAGAATTACTTCAGGTATGTTTAGCAGTCGTCTCACTGTTGCTATACTTATTTCTGGATGGTGAGAGTTACTATGTTTGGTGTATGTCCCGTATTATAATTGTTATCTTTCTTTCAGTGAAATTTAATAAGTGATAGGTTGCAGATGATTTATATTTCTGAGATATTTTATAATGCTAATGGTACATTACTTGTTGGTGACAGTAGTAAAATGAATGGCTGTGCTGCTTAAGCAACAGTGGTAATGAGTTGTCAGTATACACCTCTTATTCTTTTTAGTATCACAATACTTTGGAAATAGTAAATCACTTACAAACCTGGTAGAATTTCTTGAAAACCTTGGTATGAGTACTAGCTGCATTTTAAGAGCAATTTTTATTTGGGGTCAGCAACTTAGCTCAACAAAAACTTTGAAATGATTTTGTTTTGCAATGAAAAAGTCAATCATAGAAGCAGCTGAATTGATTGACTCGTGTACTCTTTGCAGAAGAAGAAAGCTCTGGGGGTAGAGAGAGGAAAGTGGTGATGAATGTAGGCTTCATCAGATCTTGTGTAGTTGTTGGGGCACCTGGACCTGGAGACGGGGAGGATGCCGGGCTCATCGTGAATACAACTCCTTGCTCAAGCCTTTGTCGGCAGAGCCACTAACCCTAAACCACTTTGCTAAGGAGTGGTTACCCTGTAGGAGGAAGGGGAGCTTCCCAAACAGAATGAGCAGTAGAGCGAGACGGGAAGAGGCCAGCATTGCCTCCCCATCCTGAAGCCATGGCTCAGTAGGCAGGAAGCCCCTGGTGCATCCTGAAGCAAAGCTTTGCACTCCAGCTCTGGCCTCTTCCACAGGCTGGGGGCAGGGCCCTGAGCGCCACCTACCCCTCACCCCACTTTGTCCACTCCAGACTCTTTAAGCTCTTGTGTTCTAACAGTGCGTGTTTATGACAGCTCATAATAATATTGGGGATTTTCAGGTACTTTCACAAGACACACCCTAAAATAACTTCATTATACAATAAAAGAGCAGCTTGTTCCTCTGGTACAGCAGGAATTATTTCAGTAAGCACAGTGCCTCAAATCAGCCTGCTTCTTTAGCTGGGTTTGTCTGTGACCACTGATCCATAGCCACCCTTTCAGGTTGGCCACACATGCCAGAGTGCAGGGACCACAGTCAGCAGCTCCACATCCTAAGGCCTGAAATTCTGATCCACGACCTGTTCATGTCAGTTGTGGTGTCCAGAAGTTATGTTCTGTAGACTGGTGTAAGCTAACTGGTTCTAAGCTAAAATGTAACTCCTTCATGTTAAGTCCAAGTTCAAGTACAGACGCAACCTCTGTAACAGACCACTTTTTATAATATGATTTTTATGGGTTCTGAGATTACTGAGTTATACATACATACATACATGCATCAATGTATTTTTGTGCATTCTTTATTTTCCAAATGTTGAACAATGAGCATGTATTTTATAATTAAGAAAAAGTAAGTCCTAAATGAAGGCCCCATAAATATTAAAAAAAAATACAGCAGTGTTTTCAGAAACCCCTATCTTATTTGGCCACATTAATGAGCTTCCAGCCTGTCTCACTCCTAAGACTTTTTAAGCCTGACTTCTGAAAATAGCACCAGACTCCTGTTACTATGTTCAGGTTGCCAGGATTCATGTTTTCATCACTCAGAATGCGTGAGCCTCTGTGCTTCCTATCTCTTATTTCCGAGTCCCTCAGAGATGAAGAAGTCCTGCGTCTTGCCAAAGGTAGCACTGTGACTTCACGGGCGCAGCTGTATGCTGCAAAGCAAGCGTGTCTTCATAGCTTCCCCTCTTCACATTTCCATTTCTTCTCCCCTGCCTCAGGCCACCTCTGCTTTATGCTCCTTCGTTTCTGAAATCTGCTTTCCTTGCCCTTCTCCAAGTGCAGTTGTGCATGTACACACACACACACACACACACACACACACACACACCAGGACCTTTCAGATCACACCTGCATTGAGATTACCTCAGGTGCTAGGGTTTAATTTTAACAAGCAAACAGAGAGCCGTCTCAGCAGTGTCACAACTGACCCTATGAAGAACTGAGACATCTTTTAGACCGCTCAGCTTCTCTGTCTCAACTCTCCACAGACATTCTCCCTGGGCCCCTGGTCGCAAATGACCCCTCTCCGTGTCTAACCAAAGATCCTACTGGGTCTGTTAACCACTTGGGTAACAGGACACCTCACAAGCCAGCCTGTTAGGTTGCCTTTGAGTCAGGCAGTTGACGGGCCATGGTTTAAGGCAAGACCTTTGTGTACAAGGACTTCTTATCTCTGGCTGCTTTGCTTAAAAGGGGTCTTGGCCAGGGGTCCAGTCTCCTTTTCAATACGCTCCTCTCCCTAGTTTCCTCAGCTTCTCCGACTGTCTTAAGGCTCTGCTGGACCCCCCTCATGCTTTATCCGAACCATTATCTGTTCTATTCCCATGAGGATGCCCACAGACTTCAGGGGAGCTCCCCACTCCATTCACACATGCTGCCAACATATTGTTGTACACTTACAGTCCTGGCAATAGGAAGTCCTTGTGGTAGGAGACATACAATTACCCAGTATTGTCCAAAAGGCTGCTGCTTAGACCACATCTGCATTTAAAAAAAAAAAAAATTGTCGATAACACAATTTAGTCTTTATGTTATTATTGTGGCTTTGCAATATGCGTCTTTTAAAGGTTCCTTCCACGTGAGGCCAGTATCACCTCTGATCTGGTGCAGTGAGTGGTTTGTGCATAGCAGGTGTGCAATAAGATTTATAATTAACTTGAATTATTTTATAGCTTCAGTGAATATTTATATTTGTAAATACCAGAAGTAGATTATGCTTTTTTACAAGCATAACAATATATAAAGAAATACTATTTTCTTTCAGAGATGTGTTCTCATTTGTCTTATTACCAGCTGCCCCCGACATCTTTTCTGAGGTCTTTACACATCTGTTGTGTGGGTTCTTCTCTCTCTCTCTCTCTCTCTCTCTCTCTCTCTCTCTCTCTCTCTCTCTCTCTCTCTTTATAAACTTGCTCAATATTTCTGTACTACTGACATCCTACTCCACTTTCATTTCATTAAGCTGCATTTTCTGCTTAGGATTCCATACTGTGAATTGGCTTTTGAAAAGGATGAATTGTTGGCATTAGTACTATAAAGCTGTATTACATAACAGTTAAATACTGCCAATGTCCTCTTGATAAAATGACTCAAGAAAAATGGGCATTAATAGGATTAGGAAAAATACCAGACGGCATTATCAAGTGGGCAGAACCTATTTTCAGGATCCCTTTATTTTTCTCTTGGCTCCATCTCGTCCTCTGTTGTGTGGTTCCCGAAGAACACACCAGGCCCCAGCCCTCCCTCCCGACCCTCATCCCCGTCTCTTAGACGTACAAAGCAGTGCCTTGCGCTCTTGACCTTTCTCTCTCAGCTCCTTCCTTTAAAACTTTCATTCTTATTCTTTCTGGACTGAGCTAGTGAACAACTATCGTGTTCATAACCAATAATGTCTTATGGTAACACCCCTCTATATTAGCCAGGGTTCTCCAGATAAATAGAACCAATACTGTAGAGATATATATATTTATCATAAGGAATTGGCTGATGTGACTGTGGAGGCCAACAGGTCCCAAGATCTACCGTCAGCAAGCTTGAGACTCAAAGAAGCCAATGGTTTAGCTCTAATCTAAAAGGCCAACAGTCTTGAGGCCCAGTTGTCGATGTCAGTTTGAATCCAAAGGCAGGGGGAGAAAAAAACAGCAACACAATGTTCCATCTCAAACACAGTCAGGCACAAAGAGTTCCCTCTGACTTGAGGGAGGGTCAACCTTTTGGGGCTATTCAAGCCTTCAACTGATTGGATGAGGCCCACCAACTCTGGGAGGGCAACCTGCTCTACTCAGTTTGCCAATTCAAATGTTAATCTCATGCAAAAACACCCCCACAGACACACCTAGAATAATATTTGGCCAAATGTCTGGGCACCCCATGCCCAGTCAAGTTGCTACATAAAATTAAGCATCAAACCTTCCCAGACAGTGTTGCATTTTAATCTTAGTTCTTCCGGATGCCTAGCCAGAGGACAGGAATAGCCAGGAGGAGAGGCGGGCCTTGAAGCCCTGTGTGCAAGAGACCAAATACGCTGACTCCTAAACATCACACTGAGGATTAATAGTTTATGAAAGTATTTCTCTTTTTTTTTGGATTTAAGTTGGATATTTTACATAATCTACATATAAAATAGAAAAGTCAATTTTCAATCTTCTAACCGTCAATTTCATGTTGAAGCTAATCATTAATTCAGATTAGTTAATTTATATTTTTTTGCTCTTTTCATTGAGGTAAATTGATATAAGATAAAATTAACTATTTTAAATTGAACAGTTCAATGGCACTTAGTACATTTCCAGTGTTGTGTAACCACCACTTCTATCTAGTTCCAGCACATTCTCGTCACCCCAAACGGAAAACCTATACCTTTTAAGAAGTTACTTCCCATTTCGCCTTTTTTCCTGCAACAAACAATCTGCATTTTGTCTCTATGGGTTTAGCCAGTCTGGATATTTATTGTAAATTGGATCATTTTGTGAGCTTGTGTGTCTGGCTTTTTTCACTTAGCCTAATGTTTTTTGAGGTTCATCCATGATGTAGTAGTATGTCTCAATACTTAATTTGTTTTTATGGCTGAATACACACACACTGCAATTTATTGATCCATTCATCCTTTGATGAATATTTGAGCTGTTTTCACCTTTTGGCTGTTGCGAATAATATGCTATGACCATGCATATAATTCTACATGTATTTGTTTGGGTACCTCTTCTCCATCCTTTGGGGAATATACCTAGGAGTGCAATTGTTAGGTCACAGGGTAAATCTGTGTTTAACTTTTTGAGAACCTACAAAATATTTTCCACAGTGGCTGAACCATTTTATATTTCCCCCAACAATGTACAAGTGTTCCAATTTCTCCACATTTTCACCAATACTTATTATGTTCCTGTTAATTAATATTTAAATAATCAAATTTAAATATCTACCCTTGGGCATAAATATTTATCCTACAAGGAGATCTTCCTGGGAGTCAAGAAACCAAAGAAACAGACATTAGCTTCTGATGAAGGCATGATTAATTTAAAATTAAAGGGGAAAATACATATTAAACACTTTAATTAATGATTTACCTGCACTCCACCTCATTCCGAAAAGAAGTTGATATGTCTTACAAGGTACTTATAAAATATAGTTTCCATATTACCTGCATCAGAATATCTGGGAGTGCTTGTTAAATAATGTATGTCATCTGGCCCCATCAAATTTAAGACATCAGAATTTCAGGGCATTAAAAGGGGCATACATCTGGAATCTGCATTTTAAATATGGTCTTTGAATGACTTTTATGTAAACTGAACTTGAGAACCACTGGTGTAACCAGACCCAAAAAAGATCTCATTAGTTAAATGAGGAATTGACTCTCACCATGATCATCATTTAAAGTATTTGTGATAAAAGGTTTTTCTGTTGTGGCAAGACTCGCTGTTCTATAGAAAGAGATGTGGCTGGCCATTTTCAATCTTGCAAGGTAATATAATTTAAGGTTATATGGTTTTTCAACTTCTGACATTTTCTTAATAGATTTGGCATATATTTAGATCACCAATAAATATACTGAAAGCTTTATGAAGGGTGAGTCTTATATTTTATCGAAATGGCAAGAATTGTATTACAAAACCTGAGAATAACCAAGTTCAGGTCTCCATCATTAGAGGTCTCTTCCCCACAAACACCTTGTTACATGTGCTTTGATTTTGAAATTATTAGGTGTGGGACTTTATATTTCTTTCTTTAGGATGATGTTTGGTAAATTGGTCACTTCAGTGTGTTTCTCACTTTTTTGGGATCAAGGATTTCATTAAAAACTATGAATCTTTATTGAATGTCAAATAAATAAATAAGTAAAGTATAATTTTTTTTTTAAAAAGCAAACTATGAATCCTTTACTCGCTTCCCACTAGTGAATATCCTACTCCCCTCCTTGCAATTTTAAATACATTACTGGGGTTCCATACGTATGAGGTTGAGAATATCATGATGTCCAGGCCTCTTACTCCTCTACATCTATAATTTCTTCCTGCAAGTTAAATTTTTTTCCATTATTTTTATTACACAGTGGAAACTACAATAATATCTGATATAGCAAAAAACAAAACAAACAAACAAAAAAACCCAGACTCGCAGTAATATCAGTCACTCAAAACATATTATTTACCCAAAAGAAAGCAGAAAAGGTCTTTATAATACAGAAGTCTGTCACTTAGCCGAAGCATTTTCTTTGGTAAGAGAGCTACAGACACAACCTTGAGAATTATTAGGCAGCAGTTTAAATGCAAGCAGACACACTGACAAAGATGAAAAAGGGGAATATAGCATGCTAGCAAAAGAATAAACAGGTTTAATTTTTAAAATAACAGTGCGTTCTCATTTAATGGAGAGACTAAAAGCATTATTCCCTTGAGTGGCCTCTGAGCATAATTCTTTTGCAGCAATGAGTATATGTTTGCATACTGAAAACTCTTGCTCATCAAGAAAAGACAGGGTCCTATTGATCATAACATGTTTATGAAAAATATAATTCATTTTAGAAAGATTTCAGATACATTTTCATGAGCATAAAAGAATGTTCCGTGAACATAAAAAATGGATAATATTAAATTACCAAGACGTTTTGCTGATATTAAAACCCCAAGATACTATTCTTTTCTACTGTAGTATTTAAGATGCTTCTGATTCAGTATTTCTGCCTGTTTTGCTTAAGTCATTATTTGTGTATACGACTGTTCATAACACTATTCCTGCTGGTCACCACTGGGGCAAAATCCTCCTTGTGCTAATAAAAAGACAAATTTTTGCAAAGTTAGATGTCTTTCTTGAGGTGCTTTTCTAGTAGCTGTCTCTGGTGACTCGAGGAACACACTTGCACGATGACTGACAGAGTTAGTGATGCACTTTGTGGTTAGAAGTAGGGTGATGCTTTGAATGTAAATGAGACACAGCTACTCCATTTTTTAAAAAATAAGAGATCTAGTGAAGTGTCAGGCTTTTGTTACCTCCATGGATGTGAGAGACTAAGGGAGTACTAACGATTCTGTCTTCACAAAGAAAGTCACAAGTGTTTATACTTTTCAGAAAACAAGGTCGTAAACTTAAGCAATATTACCCAAGCAATGCATTAAAACTTACAACAACCAATTAGAATCAGAGACTTTATGGAGGTTTCAATTTATTTCATGGGATATAGCAACATTCTCTAAAATCTGAGTGTTTTACAGACACTGTTCTAAATTACATTTGCAAGAGCTGTTTGATAATGCTGAAGAGATTTGCTTTTCTGCAGCAAAGGGGAAAGAAGAAACATGTCCGTGCAAAGCGTTGCACATGAATGTTCATAGCAGCTTCATTTGCATTAGCCAAACCTAACTATTCTTCAGCAGGTGGTGACTAGATAACAAACTGTGGTATAACTGTACAATGGAATACTACTCTGCCCTAAAAAGGGAAGAACCATTAATAATACAGCAACAGAGATGAATCTCAAATAAGCTCAAGTAATTACCGTATTTCCCCATGTATAAGATGCACCCTTTTTTGAAAAATTTGAGGTCTAAAAACTGGGTGCGGTGTAAAAAAATTTACAACAATGAGCACAAAAACAAGTGCGAAAAAGTGGGAAATGCAAGTAACAAAATCTACAACCACTGTATAAGACACACCCAGTTTTTAGACCCCAAATTTTTCAAAAAAGGGTGCGTCTTATATATGGGAAAATATGGTAGGTTGAGTGAACAAAGCCAGGCAAGCATGAGTATATACTCTATGATTCAATTTATATGAAATTCTAGAAAATGCAAAACTCTAATGAAAGATCAGAGGCTGCGGGGGGGGGGGGGGCGGGTATGGGGGAGAAGGGAGGAGGAGGAATTTTAAAAGAGGACCTAGAAAACTTTGAAGGTGATGGATGGATATGTTCACTATCAACTGTGGTGACTTCACAGGAGTATACATATGTCAAAACTTACAGAGTGTACACTTTAAATGTGTACAGCTTATTGTATGATACTTACATGTCAATAAAACTGTTTGAAAGAAAAAGCAACACAAGTCTCTTACATATATCCTCTCCCTTGTTCCTCTCTTCCTAAGGTACTCGCTTGGCAAAACCACGAAGTCTGCCAAATGCATGCCTCCACCAATGCAGCTGTGCGTGGCTGGCAAAAACTAAACAAACAACTCTGACTAGTGGCACTTGAAAAGAAGTTGTTTGTAAAAGAAGGCCTACAGTACAAGACACATTTTCGTTCAAAAATTATATCTATGCACAATTAAAAAAAATGTTTAGAAGATTAGAAGCCTAAAAATTAAGCAGTGACAATTTTGTAGATTACAGGTGATTTTTATTTTCTTGTTTATATTTTGCTGCACAAATACATTTTTTTACAAGGAGCAGTGATTACCTTTATAAGCATTAAAACTAAGGCTGCCTGGTAGCACTTAGAGCCTTTGCAAGTGTATGTTTCAGCTGGTCTGACATCTTTCCCCACCATTTTCTTTCCTACCTGTAGCTAGAAGACGAAATTACAACATTACGACAAGTTTTATCAGCGAAAGAAAGACATCTGGTTGAGATAAAACAAAAACTCGGCATGAACCTGATGAATGAATTAAAACAGAACTTCAGCAAAAGCTGGCATGACATGCAGACTACCACTGCGTAAGTATATTAAGATAATTTTTTTAAAAATCACTTAGCCGGCTGCCTCACCACTCTTTTATTTTATTTTATTTTATTTTATTTTATTTTATTTTATTTTATTTTTTTATTCCTACGAGGCTGCTTTGGTACTGTGCTTAGGTGGAAAAAAAAATTTCTCTAGAAGTAAAATAAAGAAATATGAATAATCACTAAATATGCTGCATGTGAAGCCAACCCTAGAAAGTAGCTTCATGAAATTAAACATTGTTCACCAAAATGCTGTTTTCACTCAGACGACTTTTACGGGGTTGCACAGTTTAAATTTTTTTCTCTTTATTGTATATTTTTAAACCGTTGTTAAATATGTGTATTTTTCTTTATGTGTTCTCATAAAATTGTAAATGGACGTAGAGAGGCCTGGTAATAGGGAGAGGCGATGGGCAGCAATGATTTCAGTTTTCTTGGGGGCCAAATTGCCTGCTGGCTGCTGAGAACCGAGCTCTAAGTAAGCCCATTTGTTCCTGTGTGAAGGTGCCCTTTGAGTGAGGAGCTGGATCTAAAAGGAGCCTGATGTTTCCCTACTGTGGTGCCTTTCCTTTCCATGTGAAAGGAGAATTTCTCTCCCCTTATAACAGCCTAGCAATCCCACAGGCTTCTATGCCTGTGCACCCCAAGGGCTCATCCAGACAGGGTCAGGGCACAGCCCAGAGGAGGGCAGATGGAGGCAGGGAGCCCAGCAGTTGATCTCCAGAGGGTAGCCAATGTTCCCCAACCTGAAGATGACAATTATGGAAGCAGATTAGACACCACACATTGATATATTTATATACTGGAACACCATATGAACAATGTCCTGAAAAGCACCGCTGGATTTTAGGCACCAAATTAAATGAGCTTATCTGTCAGAGTTTTAGCCTCTGTCTTTGCACCTTGTTGGCCTATACCAATTAATGGCCCTGACGTCAAAAGGCTAAACCATCTCCAGTTCCATGGGTGTGGTCACCTCCGTCTTTAACCCAGGTGTGGGGGCTTCATGTCACACTGACCTGAACTACTTCTTCTGGGGTGTAAGAAGCAGGCTGGAAAGTTCTTCTTGGCCTCCTTAACCACAGGGCAGTAAAAGCTAACCAAATGGAGGGCCTGACAATCCTGCCTATTGTGTTGCTGAAGGGAGGGAGGGAGCATGGACCATCTGGGCAGAGGGTGGGTCGCAGGGTGGGGGGTAGTGCAGTGAAGGGAGAGATTTATGGTCATCCTGAGAGCAGACAAGTTCAAGGAAGGCTTTTAGCCTCTTCGCAAAGGGGAAACTCTGTAGTTTGTGTTTTTCCCATGTTTAAAAAACAAACGTTTTATAGTGAGGCATCCTACTTAGCATCAAGCGTTTTGTTGAATGAATAGAACAGATTTATTCCCTGGGGTATGGAGTTACAGTCTAGTCAGGAAAACAGAGTTTTGTTTTTGTTTATTTTACAAGTTATTACAAATTACCAGTTCAAAGGTAAGTGTGAAAAATGGTGTAGAGACAAATACAGGATATTGTGAGGGTGGAAAGCCTGAACCTTGCTGGGGTCTCAGGGAAGGTTTCCAGAGTAAGAGATGTTTAAGCAGAGCTCTGAAGGATAAGTGGGAATTTAATCAGACCAGAAGAGCAGGAGGAACCACCTGGGGGAGGCACAGAGGGTGAAGGCAGGCCCCTCCCAAGGATAGTGGTGGGGTTAATAATATTGTGGAGATAGCAGGGAAAAGTGGCCTTGTGGCATCTGTTAATAGAGTTGTTCTTTATCCACAGGCAATAGAAAGCGATTAAAGGGGTTGTGACAGTCCATTTATCCAAAAAGTATTAATGAGGGTCTACTATTAGGTATTATGACCCAGGGGCTAATCTAATCCCTCAGGAGATGGAATTCAACAGGCGGACAAAGCTCTTATTCTCTCTGTGTGTTGAAAGGGAAAAGAGGGCCTGCCGAGTGGCGCGTTGGTTAAGAGCTGGCTTGGAACCCCAGAGGGCCCCGGTTCGGATCCCACATATGAGGGCCAGTGACACTGCCCTCTACAGCTAAGATGCTGAACAACAGCTCAACCTGGAGCTGGGCTGCCATGAGTCACTGGTGACGGCTAGTCTGCAGCTCCTGATGCAGTGGGTTTCCATGGGCTACCGTGTGTAGCCAGCAGCCGCTGTGAGAGGCTGTCCAGAAGCCGGTGACTGATCTGCCTCACTCAGGAAGAGCGCAGTGATGGTGCCAACTTGGGCCAGTGAAGCGACGTCCTCCACAACTAGACTGATTCCCCAGCGCTGTTCCCATCCCCTAATTCCCCAATTTAAAAAAAAAAAAAAAAAAGAAAGGGAAAAGAGCAAGAAACAACAAAATAAACACATGAGGAAATATCACGAAGTGCTATGATGCAGGCAGCATGGAGTGACATACTAGAGAGTGACTTAGAGGAGAGGGGGGAGGCGCATAGACTGGTCCTTGTCAGGGAAATCCTGTTGGGAGTTACTTTCAGTTGAGACCTGAATGATAAGAAAGATCCCTTGTGAAGATCTGGGGAAGAGCTTTCAGGCAGAGGCAAAAGTTAATGCAAAGACCCCCAAGGCCAGAACTAGCTTTGCAGGTTTCAGGAGCCCACAGAAAGTGCTGTGTCTGGACTGTGGCGAGAGGAGAAGAGTGTCAGACTTCTGGGGCCTCCAGGCCATGGGGAGGAATGGGGATTTTCCCCCAAGGGGCCTGGGTGCCATTGGGGAGTTTGAAGCAGGAAGTGTCCTGTTCTGATTCACCTTTTAGGAATTACTCTGGTTACCTTGAGGACTGTAGATTGTGGAGAGGCAGGTGTGGAAACCGGAAAATCATTACGAGACTGCTGGAGTAGTACAGGTGGTGATGATGGTGAGAGAGCGTCATGGACATGAGAGGATGGGATTGGGAGGTCAGGCCAATGGGACTGACTTCCCACTCATTTGGAGGGGACGGGGGAATAGAAGGATCAAATACGAGCCTTCCATCTTTGGCGTGGGCTATTGGGTGAGTATCGGGGCTGTTGACTGCAGTGGGAGTATAGCATTGTGGTTAAGCCCATGGGCTATGGACTCCAATGGCTTGGATTGAAATCTAGGCCTCCCTGCATCTGTGAAATGAGGTCATATTAGCACCTATTTTATAGATAGGGAGGATTCAATGAATTAATATTTGTGCAACACGCAGGACCATGTCCAACACTTTGGAGGCATGTTCACTGTTCTAGGAAAGACTGAGACAGGTCTGGTGGGGAGACCCATGAGTTGCTTTGGCTGTGTGAAGTCTGCAATGCCCAGAGGGCACATGAGTTTATGTCCCGAGAAGGCAGCTTGGAGGATAAGTCAGGGATAGAGACGGACATTTGGGAGTCATCTGCACATTGATGTCATGGAAAGCTATAGGACTAGATGAGATTTCCTCAGAGATTCTTTAATAAACACAGAAGAAGGTGGACTCCCTAACCTTTAGGAATGACATGTACTTTGCTTTGTAGGGAAGAATCAATCCCTTTCTTAAGAGGGAGGCAAATGTCTATCAACAACCTAATTTTGGGAGAGCGTCTTCCTCCCGCCCTTTTTTCTTGGCTGCTGAGGGAAGGGGAAAAGTCTTATGCACATGTTGGGTGATAACATAATCTGTTTTCTCCATGAATTAATCAAATTCCTGCTGTTAGTGTCCGTGATACCCAGTCCAGGACAAGCTCTGCACCTCATACGATGAATATATTGATGTGAGGGAATTGGGGTGGGGTTAGGTTGAGTCAAATTAGATTTCAAAGCACTAAAAAGAATTTTAGCTGTCAGAGTATTGCCGGTAATTCCCAGAGGCAGTGCTTTGCATACTGATTACGTGATCATGACCTATTTAGTTTGATTGATTTGTAATGAAAAGAAAATCTGTGGTATGGTAATGAAAGATCTTGGCATATTTTAGTCTATGGTGTGATTCAAATTGAAATAGGACTGGAAGAGGAGGAATAATTTCACAGCAGACTGAAATTACCTCATTTCTGGAAAGATAACCATATAGTTGCAGGTTAGGAGATCACCTCTGTCCAGGGTTTGTTGTTGCTGTTTTTGTCATAGCTTTGTCATGCTTTGATTTGAGAGACTCTAAGAGCAGACAAATACTATGCCCCCATCGTTTTTGTTTTGTTTTTTACTGCTCTCTGCTGCTTTTTTAATGATGTCTTTAGGCTTCAAAGAGGCCTGGGGAATGTGTGTGGCTTTAGGATGTAAGGGTGGGGAAGCCACTGGAGGAGAAATGGAACCTCTTCTGTAGGAGGAAGAAGTAGGAACTTAGAAATGCAACATTGTGGCCGGTCATTTAAAGTGATAGGCTTCATTTTAATAAGTGTTTAGCCTTTGCTAACTCATGAGACTCCCCACTAATAAACCCTTCTGAGTTGCACCACAGACCAAATGGTAGGTCTACAAAGGGGAGAAGGTTTTGGAAAGGAATTTAAATCATGCCATCTTTTTGGAAAGCTTAATAACTTCATCCTATATAAAGAAGAATGAAACCCTTAACATTCAGCATTTAAAAAAATGTGCCATGTTTAAAAAATCGAAGTTCAGTTTGTAATTTACTTACTCTTTGATTTTGTGCTTCTAAGCCCAGGCCCTTATGGCCAGTAATGATTATTATCTCTTTTTATAGCACTGTTGAGTTCAGAAGTGCCGGTGAAGATTAAAGACCTAATTTTAATAGACACACATAGGCCGTCTCTCATACAGTTGTTTGTTCTTCTTACCACTCATCTTCCATCTTATCACACAAGGCAGAAAGTAGTTTTGTTTGTTTGTGTTTTTTTTTTAGATTCAAGACGTAAATCTATGTTTTGATAACATGTTTAGGGAAACTTTGGAAGAAAATAAGCTGATGTGTTGTTTTTTGTTTGTTTGTATCTTTGGTGAAATGCTGCATGTGCAACCATTAAAGTAATGCTCTCTTTTAAATCCCATAATAGAAAACAAATGCTATAAAGTATCTTCTTATACAAAG